GATGAACTCATAATGGGAAAAGGTTTACACATGAAGAAAATGAGGCGGAGAATGAAGATCACTCCAATGGCCAGAGTCTACGTCAGGCTTTAGTGTACTCCTGCCTTGGGAATTGCTCTGCTTCTAGTGTCAATGCATACAATAGTGATCAAGATGACAATGCTGAATTCCACAAGTCAATGGCGGCTGTGCCAGAGAAAGTTCAAGAAGATTTGAAGAGATTCATGCATTAGTTAAGCTGAAAGAGTAGAGCCTGTTTTCAAGACTTCACGAGAGAATATCTCCAGATTTCATCAACGTGTAACAAATATTAATCTTGTCATGGATTTGGTCTCTTCATTTTATTCCCATTCTCTCCTTGTATTGCAAGACAAATGATTGTGTGAAGAAAAATGTATACATGCATTGGAAACCCTTTTGGAATTTTTTTTTGTATTTACGTTTAGAAGACAAAAGTCTGAATATATTCAAATTGTATTATTATCAACAACAGAAAAAAAAAACAATTCAAAGAAGGATGTTTGTTCATTAGAATCTGTCTCTGTAAGCTGTTCCATACACAATGAGGTAGGGTACTGTTCGAAAAACTGTGTCAATGGGAATGGCAAAGCGTATCAGATTGCTCAAGGCAAGTTAGGGCAAAACCTGGAAGAGATTGACAAATTCAGACTCTTAATTACAATCATCTGTTGACCAAAAAAAAAAAAAAATTACAATTATCTTTAATTTGTACACGTTAGACCATCTCCAATATATTTCTTCATTTTCTACTCCAAAATAGAGTAACTCCAAAATAGAGTTGTGTTTTGCTCCAATGTATTTTTTTATTTTCTACTCTAAAATAGAATATTCTAAATAGATTCTTATTCGATTTTATTATAAATACTTTTTAGTTTTAAATTTTAAAAATAAATCTCACTTATTTTATATTTTACAATTTCTTTCAAAAACTATAACTTAAATATTTATCAAATAATAAAAATTGCATAACATCACAAAAATGCATATGCAATTTTTATTTAAACATTACTATTACTAAAAAAATTATCGTTAATGTTTTTTGTGATTGTTGTCTCAAATTTATTTATATTGTTTATCTTAATTTTAGCATTTATTATGTATTTTAAAGTTTATTATATTTTATATTTTTTTAAGAATAATTGCAATGTTTAAATATTTATAATTATGAGTTTTATAATATTTTTTATAAATATTAAATAGTATAAAATATAATTATTTTAAATCTAAAAGATTAATTTGAAAATAAAAAAAAAATTAACTCTAAAATGAAGTAGAATTTAGATTTACTCCAATTATAGAGTAGAATTTAGGTTTACTCCATTTTGGAATTGAAAATGAAGTAGTGTTAAAGAGAATATTATTCCAAAATAGCATTTGAAGTTGAAAATAGAGTAGGGTTATAGCCGATGACTACTTTCTCTACCCAAATTCATTTTTTTGTAAGATGTTAATCATATCAATAGTAACTGTGTAAGATATGAGGGGGAAAATGTATTTTGATTTCTCTCAAACTAAATTACTCAATAGTTGGAACCAACCCAAATGAAAAGCAAAATTCTTTATTTCATTTTTAAAACAAAGAAATTTTTTCTTGCGCAATCAAAAAGAGGCACACGAAATCAGACCAATTTGGCTAATACTCTTCCTGATTTTTAGTCTGTAGTCAAAATAAACATTAATTTTGTCGGCAGGATCATGATGATAACGATTTGATGTATGGATATAAACTGCATGATTAGGATAAAAGAAGATCAAATGCATATAAACCAAGTGGTAAAGTGGTTGAGACGCTGAAAATAGAGTGGAATCTTAATTAATTCCACCACTTGCCCTACCCTACTGTTAAATTTTTCGCTTCACCTTTTAATTCATCTCCTACAGTCACAAATCATACAATCCTATTATTCCCATCTATGCAATTCACACATGGTAGAAAAATCGTAGAGTAAATTTGGATAATAACATGAAACTACTAAATTACAAATCTTGAGTTCTTAAAATCTTATAGTTTTCATCAATATTATCACATGAAATGTAGACGCTTACTTAACAAGTTATATATCTACCACTCCTCTTTTCATGTTATAACTTTATTTTAGCTGATGAAAATAATATAGAAAGAAACATAAACGAACTTTTTAATCGATATTTAAAATATATATTGCGAACGTTTTGTTTAATTTGGATATGCTTATATGGTTTCTTTGACAAATATAATTAAACTTGACTAGGACATATAGCAATAGTTAATTTGTGTTAGTGTTGTGGTTATGTTAGTGCTATCATACATATATAATATTCAAACTTTCGTAATATACAGGTTGTTGTAAAAAAAAAACATATATTAAACGTGGTGATTAAACAAGCTTAGTGAAATCTTTTGATTGCTATAAAACTGAATTGGATGAAATAAGATTTGATCTAGAAACATATTTATACATACATATATTCATAAGTTAATTACTCTATTTGTTTTGAAATCAAAGTTTGTAAAAGATTTGACGTGCATTATGTCAAACTCTTTCTTTGGGCTACGTATTGACTTATTTGTCGGTGATAAAAGAAAGTACTCTAGAGACCTACAATATTTTGCTATGACTAAAGAAAAACTATAGGATTGAAAAGTAAGCTCGAAATACAATTGAAAAAAGAAAACTTACTCAGCACCATTAATGACCCTGAAGAAAATTGTAGCATAATGAGGAATTGTATGAGAAATTCAAACTAGTGAGTGATGATGATTGATGAAGGCCTCAACCAATTCTCATTAATGCTCGTCTTTGTTTGCTCCTATAAATAAAATTAGTAAGTAGTAAGATGAGTAACCAATTGCACTGAGCAAAGAACAACACTTTGAAAAATCAAATAAGATATAAAGAATGGGGAAAGTTTCTAAACGATTTGGGTTTTTGGGTTTGATGCTTGTGTTGCTCATCATTGGAGCAGCGGAATGTAGGAGACTTGAGAAGGAGACTTTGGGAGGCGGTGGTCTTGGAGGAGGTGGTGGTGCTGGAGGCGGATTTGGTGGTGGAAAAGGCGGGGGCGGTGGTCTTGGAGGAGGAGCTGGTGGCGGGTTTGGTGGTGGTGCAGGCGGAGGCCATGGAGGCGGGGCTGGTGGAGGGTTCGGTGGTGGTGCTGGTGGAGGCAAAGGTGGTGGTTTAGGTGGCGGGGGAGGACACGGAGGAGGTTTCGGTGGCGGTGCTGGAGGGGGCTTTGGCGGTGGTGCAGGAGGAGGAGGAGGACATGGTGGTGGAGCTGGAGGGGGCTTTGGCGGTGGTGCAGGAGGAGGAGGGGGACACGGTGGTGGAGCTGGAGGAGGCTTTGGCGGTGGTGCAGGAGGAGGAGGAGGACACGGTGGTGGAGCTGGAGGAGGCTTTGGCGGTGGTGCAGGAGGAGGAGGAGGACACGGTGGTGGTGCTGGAGGAGGCTTTGGTGGTGGAGCCGGAGGAGGGCACGGTGGTGGTGCTGGAGGAGGATTTGGTGGTGGAGCTGGGGGAGGACACGGTGGAGGAGCTGGTGGAGGTTTTGGTGGTGGAGCTGGAGGAGGAGGAGGACATGGTGGTGGAGCTGGTGGAGGTTTTGGTGGTGGAGCCGGAGGAGGACACGGTGGTGGTGCTGGAGGAGGATTTGGTGGTGGAGCTGGAGGAGGACACGGTGGTGGCGCTGGTGGAGGTTTTGGTGGTGGAGCAGGAGGAGGAGGAGGACACGGTGGTGGAGCTGGTGGAGGTTTTGGTGGTGGAGCAGGAGGAGGAGGAGGACACGGTGGTGGAGCTGGTGGAGGTTTCGGTGGTGGAGCTGGAGGAGGCCGTGGTGGTGGATTTTGAATGTAGCTTTATAGGTTACTTACTTGTGTACCACGCCAGGAAAAAAAGAAAGAAAGAATGAGATTATATTTGCTGGGTATTTTTATTATGATTGAAATAAGTGATAATACTTAAGAAAATAAATAATCTATTCGATGTTCATGACTTCACTCTAACCAACACATCTCATAGACTGATCATACCAATAGTATGAAAAGAAAAACTTGGTTAAAAATCTACTACATTAACATGATGTGATGCCAATGTTAATTAATAAATTAGGTTTGTGATCGTAATGAAATATTCACACTTGGATGCCTTTAAAAGTTTAAAGCTTATACTACATTATTTGTTTTGTTTATTGAGATGGTTTGTTTAATGTTTTTCGATTACAGGTTTGGGTGTGTGGGAGTCATCATCAAGATCAATAGGGTAAGGGAGAAAAGAACTTAACGTGTGTGATTAAGAATTTCTCCTCCTTGAAATATATACAAGAAAGTTTAGTTATTCTCATCCGCTCGTGGTCAGTGACTACTATATGGTAAGAAAAGATTGAACATGTTTTCGTCCATTTTATTTTATTTTATTATTTTATTTTTTTACGGTTTATGTGATATCTTTGTTTTTTCAATGATTTCTGCTTTAGGCAACTGTTACATATTATGGTATTTAGAATTAACGAGATAGTATATATGAACATTTTTGTTGGCCAAAAGTAAAAGTTTGGTATTTGGTTTTTGCTTTTTCCCATACTTGTTGCAAAAAGAAAACACTCTATAATCACCGGTAGTTTCCTTCACGAAAATGACGTATTATTTATTTATGGGTCGTAAAATTTAATTAGTATAAAAATTAATGGTGCTGCCCAGGATCGAACTGGAGACCTTTTGCGTGTAAGGCAAACGTGATAACCACTACACCACAGCACCTTATATAATGAGTTTTATTTAAAATAATAATTAAACCATTTGATTAAAAAAACAAAGTTCATCTCCCTTCGTTCTGAAAATTCCTAGTTACATTCAAAAGTGATGAACTAAAAATGACATAATAGATGCACTACTGCATTTATCCTATTAAGCAAATTAAGTTGACCTCAGAACATTATTTATAGTTAAAATGATTTTCAAAAAAAGAGTTCAATATGTTTCGTTTTGTTTTATTTCCTTGGTGCGTGTCTACAACCATATAAAATGCTAAGAAAATCGAATGTCGTAACATTGTAAAGAAAACCAGCTACACTAAACTTTTCTAAATTCTTTAAAAGATTACACAAACATTAAAGCCTATAGCCAACCGGCCCAACTCGAAGTAAATGGTTATTTTTTTCTGCCATGGTTCACATTTTTAGCTTGAGATTAGCGAGTTGCCGGATATTGATCGGAAAAATGTCGGAGGTATCGCCGGAGAGAAGACGCCGGGCGATGATGACGTTAGCAGCTTCCGTAGGATGGTAAGGATCCCAAAATACGTATTTGGAACGGTCCATACATACTTTGGAAGATGGGCCACACGGAATCAGCCCACCTACTTTCCCAACTAACGAACAACACGGAATCTTCTCACTCTCAAAACCTACAAAAATATATATAAAAATCCATACGTCGAAAATTTGAAATACTTATCAAAACATATTAACATTATTAAGAGAATGGTTAGTTTAACATTTACGTACCGTAAGATGAATAGTTTTGGATAATATCATAAACAATGCGAAAAACGTCAGCGTAGACGAATCTTGCACCTTCAAGATTAGCATTTAAATCCTTTACGACGGTTTTAAGCTGGAGGTTATACATTTGTGCAACCTCATTTGGTTCGACTGAACATTCATCCCCAGCCGTCGGATCAGACTCCCTCTCGAACGGTATGCAACCAACGGGACCTACATTGATCACCACGATTTTCCTCGCACCCAATTGGTACAATCTCTACAAAATCCCAAAACCAAATGTTGTAATTAGTTTCATCAACCGGTTATGTGGTTTGATGTTGGTTTAGGCTTAGAGAAAGGAGACTTACGGTGAGTTGTGATCGGAATCTTGAGATCATTGTATCGACGAAGGCTTCTGGAGATACGACTCTCCGTTCAACGGTTGATACGACCGGGGTGAAATAATTGTTTATTAGGTCGTTAGAACCGGTTGTAACAGAGAAAAGTGCTGACCGGAATAATTTAGCTGCGGCGGATTCACCGACCCAAGAAATGATTTCTTGTCTTGTGGTTGCAAAGTTGTCTAGTTGTGCATCCACATTTATCCGGTCGCCCTGTAATATATTCTTGTAAATAAAAAATAAAAAGTGTGAAAACAAGAAATGTAATGAATATACTTACAAATAATTTTCCGGTGGAATTTAGGATTCCACTTCCGCCGGAAGCATAATTTACGCCGTTGAGAATGATGGATCCTCTTGTTGTGGGTGCTAAGTACGGTGGAGTTAATTCCTCGGAGCCTAATGCCTGAACTGCGGTTTTCAAATTTCCGGTTTAGCATGGCTTGGATCCAATTCGAACCATTAAAAGAAATTTGTAACCAACTTTGGCTGTAATTTGGTTTTACGAGGGATGAAACCGGTCCAAAATGCAAGAGTTTTAAAACACACGCAAGAGTGTTTTATTAATTAAAGAACCGGTATACATGATCGTAAGAAAACCGAATTAAAGCCAACAAACCACTAGACACTTTCGCTTTGTTTGTTGTAGTAACTTGTAACTGCTTGTCTGCTTAACATTGTTTCATATTGGAAGTCAAAGTCAGTATAAAGTTTTCACATTAAATACGATATTTATGATTACGGCTTTAACTTTGCATGGAAAACTTGGGTATATTGGTTAAAAAGTAATTCGTACTTACATACGATATCGACGATTGTTCTTCCGTTGGTGAATCTTCCCGTAGCCGATCCAAAATCGATTCCATTAGGATCATAATTAGCCTTTGACAATGTGGCTAAATAGTTGTTGTTTCCGGCCTCGACCAATGAATCTCCGAACACAAAACTTGCCGGGATTTTCTTTCCGGCAAGACACACCTCCGAGAAGAACAAGATCGATAATGCTATAACTTGGCAAAAAGAAACAAGCAACGACATTACGGATAATTTCAGTTATAAATTGATTTTTTGGGGAAAAAATATCAGCTAGAAAAGAGGAACTCTTTCTGTGAAGAACCAACGATGGATATTATGATTTTTCTTAAGAGAATAAAAAATTGAAGAAGAGAGGTGAGTATGAAAATGAACGATAAGTGGAAGTTAAAAAGAAGGAAGGGTTTATATAAGGTTTTTTTAATTCTGTTGGTGTCATAGAAAATGGCACAGAACCAAAGTGTTGGTTTGATTCAAAAGCTTTAAAGATCACAGAACATTGGAAATGACCATGACGAATTATATAAATCCACTGTTTATATATATACTAATAAAAGAGTCCGAGTCAGAATAAGTTGGCCGATTTAGTATTAATGACCTGTACCTAGTTAGCTGGAGGGTTATAGCATTGAGCGTAGTATTAAAATTATTTACATTAGATTTATTGAAGAGCGTAATATTACAAATATTTAGATTAGATTATTAGATAAAACAGAGTATGAAAAATTCTGTAACCTGAATAATATATGAAAATTCATGTATATGTCAAAAGTGTCCAATGACACCCAAAAAAAAGTTTAATCATATCTGACTCATCTGAAATTCTTCTAACTATCGAGTTAAAATGGCATTTTTATGTTAAGGTGATGAAGTTCCTGAAATCGGTTTAAAATTTCCGGGAATAATGAACATATATATAATAATTTAATAACAACAATATCAAACAAATATTAGTTCATAGTGTGAGGTTGTCAAATGTTAATTACACTCCACGAGATTCTTAATTTTATAGTTACGATATATTATTCATAATTAACCCAATAAGGAGCCAAAAAAACTACCCAATCATATTTTTTTAAAAAAAGTCAATGAATCTATTCACCACCGTTACATGTTCCTTTAAAAATACACAAAACCCATGCTGTTAATAATAGTACAAAAAAAAAAGAACGTGAGGATTTTGTTTATTGTTCTTGCCACAGTAGAGAATTTAATGTTGTACACTGCAAGACTGCAATGCAACTTCCACCAAACTCAAGTAATAGTAATAAAAATAGCAAGCGAGAAAAAAGAGGAACTAAAGATTTGTGATAAATTAATTCTTATCTCTGATAATAATACAACCCGTTGTTTAATAAAATTTGTAAACAGCCCTACTATTAACTAGAGTTCAAAAATGAAGCAAGTGATTGCTTTTTAATTAACTCAACCTGTTGTTGAGATAAGTGTATTAAATGTTTCACAATATAGTCGAGAAAACGTGTGACTGAAACACAAAAGCTCCAATGGAAGTATGGAACACCATAGGTACAATTGTAGAGGTAATACAAACAGTTGACAATGCCTTGGTAGAACGATTGCATTTGTGATCTAATGATCTTGTCACGCTGTGATGTTAGGTGAAATCAACAAAGTATTTGGAAATGAAAAGTGTCAGACATTTTGTTGAAGGACTTGTATTTGCAAAAATATAAAATTTAATTTTCTTTCAAATCGTGGTAAATGGTAATTGAACACATGCAGCTTCACCATTGTGCAAAATATTACTAACTATTTAAAAGATTGTTTAAATACGAAAAAAAAATGTTTAGACATCTAATTTTACCATTGTTCAATGAACTGATGGCATCACCGAAAATCATGTAAGAAAGTTGAAAGGCATGAATTGGCACAACATGAACATTAGTAAGTCATTGTTAGCAATCTCACTTTACACTTTAGTTGCCTAATTAAACTTTTAGTTGTCGCTAAACTTCTAGTTGTTTTTGTTTGTTTGTTTATGTTTCAGTTAATTCACCAAAAGATGCAGCCAACAAGGAGATAATCTGTGAAATGAAAACATGGTGCAATTTTGTGATGTTTTGTTGTTTATTGTCGATTCAGTTTTTGAGATATTTGTTTATAAGGTATGATCCGATTAGGGTCAGGGTTAGTTAGGGGAAGTATCTAGCTCCTCAATTCCCAACTCACCATTTATGTCCTTAGTTGTTGGTGATTCATGTTATGAATAACAAGTTGCGTTGTTTATTATCGATTCAGTTTTGAGTACTTGTTGAAGTTAATGATGTAGAGATAGATACTTGTTGAAGTTATGATTCGATTAGGGTCAAGGTTAGTCAGAGTAAGTGAAAGGTCTATCTCCTAACTTCCCAACTTACCACTTATATCCTTAGTTCTCTCAGTTTAATTTTTTTTTTTTTTTTTGCCAGCAATTTTCTTCATTGATTTATAAGTTGGTAATTCCTGAATTGCAAAATATTTTGTTGATGAAAAACACATTCAACATATGTAACAGGTTCTTTTGTAATCCCTTCGACAGGTTTGGGTGTGAAACCCCATTTCTTAGCCGATGTAACCCAATTCAAACCCGTTACATTGGCTGTGTTTCTGCCGGTTGACTTTTTTTATTGTTGTTATTAAAAGTCACTGACGATCCTGTCATCACTTGCCGTTTTCGTGTTTCAGAGATAAATACGGAACGTCTTCCTTGGGCACAAACGGCACGTAGTTAACTAACGACAAAACACATGGCACAGTAACCCAGGTTCGTCATCTCTTCCTCATTGACTATTTTAAGTTCTAACACTGACCTTTGCTAAAATTGAAATTTCGATTGGAAATTAGGAATTCGAAATCTGTTCTTACTGATCGGAATCGTTTGAAAATGGATCAAACAGGATGCGAAGATCTCATCCAGGTGAAGAAGGAATCAGGCGGGATCGCCATCATCACAATCAACCGTCCGAAATCCCTCAATTCGCTTACGAGAGCGATGATGGTGGATCTCGCGCGGGCGTTCAAGGAGATGGACGCCGATGAATCGGTACAGGTCGTGATTTTCACCGGAGCGGGTCGATCTTTCTGCTCCGGCGTTGATTTGACTGCGGCGGAGTCGGTTTTCAAGGGAGACGTGAAGGATCCGGAGACCGACCCGGTAATTCAGATGGAGCGGTTACGAAAACCGATCATCGGAGCAATTAACGGTTTCGCCATCACCGCCGGGTTCGAGCTCGCCTTGGCCTGTGATATTCTGGTCGCCTCCAGAGGGGCTAAGTTCATGGATACTCACGCCAGGTTCGTTTCTACTCTTTCTACGTCGTTTTGATGTTCTCAAAGTCATTTCCCGATTTGGTAAAAATCTGGTAATCTCTTTTTGGGATCATGAGAACTGAATCTAGCAATTAGGTCAGTTGATTCTGCAGATTTAGCTTCGATCATTCAAATCATGTACTTGTTCTGAATCTATGTTCATTCAACACTCAAGTCTAAAGTCTATTTCTTTGAATCTACGTGATGATATATGAATGTGGAAGCAACGTGTGAATCCTCTGTTTTTGTCAAGGTTTGGGATATTCCCTTCTTGGGGTCTGTCTCAGAAGCTGTCGAGGATCATCGGAGCAAACAAAGCTCGCGAAGTTTCTTTAACCTCGATGCCATTGACAGCTGACGTGGCTGGGAAGTTAGGGTTTGTAAACCATGTGGTTGAAGAAGGAGAAGCCTTGAAGAAAGCTATAGAAATCGCAGAGGCTATCATCAAGAATGAACAAGGCATGGTTCTCCGGATTAAATCCGTCATCAATGATGGACTCAAGCTTGATCTTGGTCATGCTCTCACACTCGAAAAGGTTGTTTAAAAAAAAAACCTTTTTTTTTTGCAATTTGCAACAATCTGTTTTAACGTTTTGATCAAATCTAACAAAATGCACTTTAACTCGCAGGAACGAGCTCACGCGTATTACAGTGGGATGACAAAGGAACAGTTTAAGAAGATGCAGGTGTTTATAGCTGGACGTGGATCCAAGAAACCTTCTCCCAAGCTATAGACAGTTTCTATGGGTCTTAAATAAGTACTTTTTGTACCATTATCTAATTAAAGTTTGTTTGAGATTCCTGTCTGAACTCAAGACATGCGTCCATAATCGGATAAAGGAATCTTTGTTTCTTACTATGAGATTCATTAAAAAAAAAAAATCTGGTAGAATTTATGAAACTGATTTTCATAACTATCAGTATAATTTTTTTTTCTTTAAATAATACTAAATAAAAATGGGAAATTGGTTGTAATAACCATGTGATCCGTTGAAATTAATAAAATGATCATATGAAAAGAGGTGCTATAGTATTTTTTATATTTTATACAATATATATCAAATTACTTTTCTCTTTTCCATCTCTTTCCTTACCTTCACGTCTTCTCATCTTTTCTCTTCCTTTTCCCCTCCTCTCTCCTCCATGTCTTCTCTTCTCTCATCCTCCCATTTCCCTCCTCTCCTCTCTCCTCTCCATTTGATGACTCATACTATACAAATTATATGATATAATTATTTTTGTAAATAATATAGGACAATACAAAAATTGATATAGTATAATATGTTAATATAAAACTGATATGTAATTAGAATCTCAAGTACTATACTATATAAGCTTTCTCTTATAAGAACATATATTATAGTATATTCTGAAAAAATTATATATCCCCTATATATTAAAAGAGAAGCATTTTTTAAAAATAAATTTAATTTTGTAAAATATTACAGTGGTGCCATTTTGCTGATGTGTCATCACCAAAATCATTTTCAGCAAAGTTATAAAAAATAGACTTATGTTACTAGATTAATTACATGTTATGCCACTCACATTAATTTGGTTATACATTAGTTTATATCAATTATATTGATGATGATTCATCAAGATATTCTCTTTTCAATTTCTTACCAAAAACATATCATATTAATTATTTATTTTAATACTATATTTTATCTCTTATTTTTATAGAAAAATAAATCATCACATCATTCATATAGTAGTAAAATATTTATAGTGTTATAATTCGAATTCATAAAACAAATATAAATTACTCAAATGATTAATAAAGGAAAGTATGTTTTAAAAGACTAAAATTGAAAATAAGGATGTCTAGATAGATGATTCATAAATCAATATAAAAATACATAAATGATAAAAAAACAGTAAGCTTAATCTAATAAATATTATTATTATACTTATATTTGGTTTCATATGGTTTTAGAACCATATAAAAAAATAATATAAATATTTAAACTTTATAATAAGTACAAAATATTAATAAAAAGTTGAACTATAAAAAATAGTTGAATATGTTAATAGAATATAATATTATAAATATTTTATTTGATTAAAAATATCATAAATTTTTAATTTATACAAAAAAATAACTTGGTAAAAAATTAAAATATTTTTGTAAGGATATTATATAATAATTTTATTAAACTTTTGGATATTAAAAATATTTTTATTGAATCAAAAAGTTAATAATATATAAATATTGACTCAGTTATATAAAATTTTAGATAATTTATTAAAAAAATAAAAATTATAATCTATTTTTATATAATCCTTATGTATATTTAGTATTTAAAATCAATTTTACAATAATTTTTTTTCTTAAAAGTTATTATTCTTATGACTATAGTTTTTGCGGGTTAATCTAGATATGCATTTACATTCGTATAAGAAATATTAAATCGATTATAAAATCTTATAATCAAATTTTATTTTTACAATTTTAATACTCTCTATTTCAAAATATAAGTTGTTTTGCATCAAAGCACAAAGATTAAAAAACAAATTTTCTTTTAAAAAGGTAATTATTTAGTATATAAATTATATATAATTCAACTAATTATGAAAAACTAAAAAATATAATCAGTCACATAGTATTCATAGAAAATCGTAAAAAATGAAACAATTATATTGTGAAACAATACAAAACCTTAAAAAAATTAATATTATGAAACAGAGGAAGTAGTAATATTTTTTTTATTATTATCATAATTCATTAGATAATAATAATTTAATCAAAATATATTTCCTCTATTTTTTTTGAATTTTAAGATCATGTTATTAATCATGAGTTATAGAAAATATAAAGAGCGACTTCCTATTTCTATCCAGATTGTGCATATTTATTTAAATTTTAAAACTAATTTACATTAGAATTAAATTACCCTATATTTCATAAAATAAACAAAAAAATATTTTGTTAATATTACAGCATAATGTTATAAACAAGTCATATAAAATAAATTGTATTTATTTTTATGATTTTAAAATTATACTATATTAAATAAATAATTATTATTTCACCTCGCACATGATGCGTGTTATTACCTAGTTATAGTATAATCTATAAGAAAATATGGGCAACATATTATAGTATAGTCCGGAAGAAGGAGATTTTAGTAATTTTTATGTGAGCCATAATTAGTTTGCATATCATTTGAATAGTATGACTATATTCTTCGATTGTTTTGTAAATATGGTTAGATAGCAAAAAATGCCCAATAAAAATATAAAAATATGGAAAATGACTAAAAAAAATAAAAACTAACACTTTGTTTTACATTTTGCTAAAACGAGGATTAGTCTATAGCACATTATAACTCATAATTGTCATTCCTGATTCACTCTACATGACTGACTACTTGCATGTCACCACAATTAACGTTTTTTACTACATGCATATCACCACAATTAACGTTTTTTTACTACATCTATAATATATAAAAATTGATAGCATAGTGCATTGATGACGTCCATATAGGATTAAAAAATTTGATCTGATTAGTCCACATCAATATTATTCATTAAATAAAAAAATATTAAGTTTGATTATGACGGAAAAACTTGATTTAATTGGTCCACATCAGTTTTTTTATCAAACCAAAAATTGTTAAAAAATGGTAAGTATGAATAGGACGGAAAAACTTGATTTAATTGGTCCACATCAGCTTTTTTATCAAACCAAAAATTATTAAAAATAATTAAAACATTAAAATTTAATTTAACAAATTATGTCTAACAAAAAAGTAAATTCAATTTGATTAATCCAAATCAACATATTTATTAAATCAGAAAATATTAATATTGGTTTAAAACTTTAAAAGTTAAAAAAAAAATTAACAATACATGTATAAAAATAAAAAAGTAACCATTATCAATTATCAATTTATCTACAACAACTCGATTTAACAATTAAAACAATTCCACCATTATCAATTATCAATTCAAAAAAATCTATAACAACTCAATTTAACAATTAAATCGAGTTCCTTAAAATATAAAAAATGACAATCTATGCTATATAAAAGTTGATGGTATAGTGCATTGAGGACGTCCACATAGAATTAAAATTAGATATGATTGATCCACATCAACAATTTTCATTAAACAAAAAAAATGTTAAGTATGATTAAAATACTAATTTCATTTTAATCATGGAAAAATTAAATAAAAAGTTTAACTAACAAATGGAAAAGAAAAGTATGTTAAAAAACCAAAAAATAGTATCCTCAAAAATAAAATAGAAATTTGTTTTCAAAATAGTTAAACTAACAAAAAAAAACCAATATCATAAAAGTTCAAACTTATAATAAAGATTAGAAAAATTTTAACTTCTAAATTAATTGACCAGAAAATATAAAACATTGATTCGCTTTATAGATGAAAAAATAAAAATAAAAAGCTTAAGTTACAAATAGAAAAAAATAGTGTTAAAAAACCAAAATATAACATTTGTCAAAATTTAAAACATTAATTTTGTTTTATAGATGGAAAAATTAAACTAAAAAGGTTTAACTAACAAATAGAAAATAAAATTATGTTAAAAAAAAAAGTATCCTTCAAAATAAAATGGAAATTTGTTTTCAAAACCGATAAACTAACAAAAAACCAATATCATAAAAGCTTAAACCGTATAATGTAGATTAGGAAAATTGTAAATTCTAAATTAATTGACAAAAAATAAAAAAAAATTTATTTCTTTTTATAGATGGAAAAATAAGAAAAAGAATCTTACGTAACAAATAGAAAAGAAAATTATATTAAAAATACCAAAATATAGTATCCCTTGAAATTAAATGGAAATTTAATGTTAAAAAAAAATCAAACTAACCAAAAAATTAATATCGTAAAAGTTAAAACTTATAGCATAGATTAGAAAAATTTATAACTTATAATGCATTGCACATATACATAATAATGTTATATACTGTCTTAATGCTATCAGAAAAATTATCATCATCAACGACGAAAACTTTCTTTGTCCAGTTAAGCTTATGATATCACCAATGGTGGAAGTCATAATAAAATAAATATTCACTTGTAATTAAAAAGATAAGCATGTTTTCCCAACAAGTCATATATATATATATATATATATATATACTAATCTGAAATACAATCTATGTTTATTTACCACCTTTTTACATTTTCTAAACAGTAGGCCAATTGTTCGTGTTACTCATCTGCATATTTTCGAAGAAAAATAATGAAAAGTGTTGTTAAACCTATCGTGCTCCTAGCCACAATTATGAAGCCAAAAACATTTCAAGGTTCGTAATTTCAAACATATAATTACCATTGTTTTACTATTCTTTATGAAAATATGATGAATCCTGAAATAAATTAGATAATAAGATTTATTTAACTCTTAACAACATACTTTAAATTGCATCATGTAAAAGTATTAATTTTGAACTCCACTTCTTCCACCCAGTTTTTTCCGACAAAATTTTGAAGCAACTACTGACTATACTGACTTTTTGACATGATAAATACGCTCACATGCATATACCTCACCATACTTTAATTTTCTATTGTTTTAGATATGAAACCAAACTGTTTTAAAGCTTTCATGATATGATGAGAAATAATACATGTTTTTATTAAAGGATTTTTTACCTTTCAATATGTTCTAAATTTATGTTTCAAAATAAAATAGGAATCATTATCAAAGAGATAAATTAACAAAAGAAAAGTCGTATAAAATATAACTAACTTGGAC